TCCACCCACTTCCTTCTCATGGCCTCCAAGGCCTAAAGGGTCTGACCACTGCCTGCCTGGTCCCAGCCACACCTCACTCCCACCCACACTGGTGCCTCAGCCTCATGTTTCCAAATTAGTCAGGCCCTGTTCAAACGACCTCTCCTCAGACACATCTTATTGGTTGGTGGTCTGCTTATGTAGCTGGAATACAAGCCCGATAAGGGCAAGGACTTTGTTGGGCTCATCACAGAACTGTTGGGGCCTGGCAGATTTCCAATCAATGTTGGAAGGATAGGTTGGGGTGTGGAAAGGAGGGATGGGAGCGGGGCCTGGATGGATGGGGTCGGGAGGACAGGTGTAGTTCTCATGTCACAGCCGGCATCGGCTTGGATTGAGAGGGGAAACTGCAGGGCTTTACTCTACTGTCAGCAGGACCTTGATTACTGTGGACGGCAGTAAAGGTCACAGCCCAGACCTGATCAGTGTGGGCACAGGCCAGTCGCCGAGAAGCAGCAGGCCATCTGACCACATCGGTCCCTCAGCCCCCAGACTCGGCTGCGGTCACCGTCCTCACCAGGTATGATGACACCCCAATCCGCTTGTCTACAAACGGTGGGTTGATGATCCGAATACATCGCATGAGGATCCTAGTTTCGCTTTTGTCCTTCCCTGGAAACCACCCTCGTTCCAACTGTGGGGCTCTTTTCTGGGCGCCCCACCCCGCCTCCCACTGTCTCCCTGTGCCTTGGTTTCCAGTGAGGAGCCAAGTCCCTGGAGGCTGGAGGCGGGCGTGTGTCCTGAATGTTATCTCCAGCAGCTGGGTCCCGATGTCAGCCTTAGGCCGTGGGGGGCTCTGCCCCTCCTCTAGAGTAATCTCTTCCACCTAAACCTTTAATTATAGGTCCAGTCAGGAATAAGGCTGCGGGTCAGATGATCAATCATCCAGCCTACGGTGTTTCTTTTTTCACAGAAAAGACCTGCTGTCCCCAACCATCCAGGCGTGGTTGTAAGGAAGGCCTTCTCCGTCCTTCCCAGCTCAGGAGGCAGGG